AAGGCGGTGGGGAAAATCGGGGTTATCGCGGCGCTGGTGAAACTTCCTCGGGAGTGTGACAACTCCAAAGTACTAACAAATATATAAATCCAGCGCGGTAGAAAGAGTTCTTGTAGACTTTCCTCCACCCAAACCCCAGAAACACATAAGTTGGAAGAGATTTTACATGGAAAAAAAAAAAAAAGGCCGAAACAACATCAAACTTTCTGGCAGCGGATCCGAAGAGTTAGAACTAATGGAGCCGGGATTTTGCGAGCGGAGGGGAAAAGTCGGTGGCAAATAAACAGAGGGATAAATATAATCCTCCCAAAGTATCGATCGTCCGCAGGTTGGGGTCGGTGCGGGACAATCTGGGGGATGTTTGGGGTCAGGAGAAAGGGATTTGGGACAGTCTGATGGACTCCTGGTGCCACAAGGAGCCGGATTAGATTTTCAATGTGAAAACATTCGATTTATTCAATTACCGCCCTGACAAGTTTATAAAGGAACAAAACCAAAACGCGCATTGGCCTGTAATTGGGATTAAGGGATAAAGAGCTCTGATATTTTGTGCCAAGTTGTAAAAGACCCTTCTGGTTTGTGGGGTTTTTTTAAATATATAATAAAACAGAAGTAAAAGAAGGGAAAAACGGGTATTTGGTGCTTCGAACTTTTTTTCCCACACAGCAATTAGGAACAGTCCATCATGGTCTCGTCGGTGTTTTGCTTCCCACTTTATGATCCGTAATCTATTTAAATTCCATATTTTTGAGGATGGGAACGGTCTTTTCCTCAGCGAGTATCCCTGCTTGGCAATGTAAGATATGTAATAATGATTAATAGGAGTCCCCGGGGTACTTTGCTGGATTGTAGTCTTATAAAGTAATTACAGATGCAATTAAAACAGAGGACATTTTTGGCCTCTGTGCACAGATTTTGCCCTAAAATTGATTGCGCCTCACACTGCAAATAATCCCATTAAAGCTGAACGCGTGTGAAATGAATTGTAATTCCTGGTGGGTGCCGGGGTGGAAATGGAGCTGAATTGAGGACAACTGGGTGCAACTGTGGGCAGGTTGTACAGGGCCAGCTCTGTTTATTCCTGGCCAGAGTTAATTTATGTTGTCTTTGAGGGTTTTATTGCCATTATGAGGGTGAGTTGTTACAGCCAGATGTGCCCTGCAGACCATTCCTGACCCACTGACCCCTCAGGGGCCGTTTTCCTTGCCCCAGCCATGCCGTTTGTCTGCAGCTTTTACCACCAATTCTCTGTTTACTCAAATTTTAAGGCTTTGGGTTGATTATGAAAAATAGCATCTACAATTTATTTAAAGCAGCATCTGCAATTTTGCTTTATAATGTGCTTAAAATTTTGTTGGTTTATCTGCAGGAGAAGGTCTCGCCCTCCCTTATCTCACTTATATTTTCATGCAAAGCTTTTAGTCTAAACACTTCTGCATTTAACAATATATTCCATTGGTGGTGGGAGATATAAATTTGAGGGTGAAGCCTCAGTATAAACACCTTGTCCTTTTCCATGTGAGTGCTGATATTTTTTGGGAGGTGAGATGTGCAGCGACACTGGGACATGGGATCAGATTCCTTTAGGGTGATGTTAGACATCATAGACTCATGGAATATCCTCAGCTGCAAGGGACCTGCAAGGATCATCAGGTCCAACAGGGGACATACCAAGAATCCCACCATGAGTGTTGTCAGAGACGTGGTGATGGAGATGTGGATGAGGGTGTGGAGTGTCCATGTGCCAGTCCATGCCCCACCTCTGCACAGTAAAGCACTTTGGAGGCTTAAATCCCATTTTATTTTTATTATTATTATCAGAGTTGCATAGTTTGAATATCAGGAAAAAACATGGTTAGACTGGGTCAAAGCCAGACTGACTCAGAGCACTGGTTACTCTGGACCTTTACAGTCTTTCTCTGAAATAATAAGGTTCCTGAGTTGCAATGTTGGTTTTTCTTCACCCCCCCCAAACACTGTTCCCTTTCTCCCATAGTTTATATAATTTTTAATCTATTTCAACCTTTTCTCAAGCCCTCCATGTGTGCTGCTTGGGCGGAGGAGCAGGAAGAAGGTGGCAAAGTGGGATGAAAACTTGGATTAGAAACTGGGGGGAAAATGAGCAACTATCTCCTTGTTAAGGACGGCTCTGACACGTGGAATCAATTAGCAGCCAAAGCAAACGAGTTCCCTCCAAACCCCGTTTCTCCTAATTAGCAGCACTCAGCTGTGCTCC